GGACACTGGTGTCTATTGCTTATATGGTAGAACACCTATGGTAGAACCAACGCCTATGTATAGCTGGAGCTGCAGACTAAGTACCCGTAGGGTGAATTGTCTAAAACTTGTAACTTGGAGTCATTAGGGTTAAATGGCAGCAATTAATGCAGATTTATTGTCCGATTGATAATTCACCCAACAGCAATAGGTTGGTCCTAGTTTCAGGTGTCCACAAAAATTCCTCAATCCAGTCTAATCAGGTGACTGTCTACTCATCTTTGAGCATTTCCATTATTTCTTGAGAGCGTATTTACAACTCAATATCTTGGCTACAAACACTGTATTTTCTATGTGTGTAATTGTCTGCACTTACATTAAGTGAACCCTGCATTGGCTGTTTTCCAGGCTGGGGAGAGCGTTCGCGATGATGCTGTCTCACACCTTATCCAGTTGATCATCGGATCCTCAGATCTTCATGGCTACATAGTTCAAAGACTTTACAAAGCAATTAGGAATGACATTGTCCAGGTATCATTACCAAGATAGTAGTACAGATTGTAGAAAATAAGCAGATAGAAGGGTGGCAAGAGACATTACATCCCTATCACATGATCAGCTGCAGGCCTTTGTGCAAAGAAACAGCCCTGCTTTGATGGCTATCATGCATGAGAAAATTGTCACCTTATGTTACCAATTGGTCAAAGTCTGCCCAAATTTACCTGCAGAATCTTGTGCCCCTCTCATACACTACCCAATTATTGTCAAATTACTATTCAGTATTTACAACGTGATACCATGGAGCTGAACAATTTATTGAGGGGTTTACACACATTGCAAAGGCAAGTAAAGGGGTTTTCACCTTGGAGTTTACCATCTACAAGTATAGGAACCTGATAAAAAACTGCAGGTATTAAATGATGAACTTCTAATAGGTATCAGTACCGGGGGCGTTTCATCAGTCCTAGCAGACCAGGGGCACCTATGAGCACACAGATTAAAATGTTGAAGGGCTGGTAGGATACCATGATGACTGGTTTGGATCAAATCTATGTCTTAAGACCAATATAATTTTTTTAAATGAATTGGTTTAAAAACCGTAATGTCATATTATTAAAATCATATCATTGCTTAAGAAATATTAATACATTAATCAAAAAGTAGATAAATTACACAATGTTCCAAAGCTGGATTATGCATACAATATATCATATGTGTCTCTCAAATGAGACGTGGGACACTCAGTAGAAGACCTGGGGCACATGCCATGGGTTATACAGTCTAGCAACATCCCTGATCAGTACTTTTAGACCAAATCACTGGAAAGATTTGCCTCTGTGCTCTGTATAGTCATATTTGCTAATGGCATGTCTGTAACAAGTACCTATATTATTCTAGAGCTTGTGCAGAAGGTTTGGGGTTTAAGTGATACACTTTATTGACTAACTGAAAGTAGAACTGAAACTTTTTTTTCATTTTGGGTAAAGTAAGGGTGGGTTTTTCCCTTCACTTCCTGTCCCATAGCCATAACAAGAAGGGAGAGGAAATTCCCCCAAAGAGAGGGAAATCCCTGGTGCCTAGCAGGGTCACCAGAACTAGTGTTTCTATTATATGATTTCCCATCCTTTCCTGTTCTGGTGATAATGGTCACTAGGACAAATAGAGAGGGTGAATCTCCCTAACAGGGCAACAGACAGCAATAAAAAGCTGACAGGTGTTGTAATCCTCTCCTCCCCATCCAAAACTTAAAAAAAAGTTTAGGCTTCCAGTCGCACTTTAAGCTACACGCTTTGGGTATTCCTTAGACCCCTTTGTCAGGCTTTATACATTTCTCTATATACTCTACTACTGTTCTAGAGCTTGTAAAACATTGTTTCTCATAGTGATGTATTCTCTTTACAGCAACCATTAGTTCAGGTGGCCTCATGGTGCATTGGGGAATATGGAGATCTCCTACTGCATGGAGTTTGTGAAGAAGAGGAACCTATTCAAGTGAGACATGAAGGGATGATTATATAAGATTATATTAAAATACATTTTAAGTTGTTCAGTAAAGTATTGCAAACAGCAGTGATGATATACAAAGAGCTGTAATCTTCATCTTCCTTTCAGATATCAGCTTGCTGGTGTCAGAACAGAGAAGATCAACTCTAATTGGTTGATGCTACTATCATTTGAAAATTGCCCTTTTGGAATAAAGCCCACAAAATGTTGTATGGCATGTATACACGAGTATAGGCTTATTTAATGCTAAACGACCATTGATCTAGGCAAGCTCATGCAGTTTTCTAGTCAATGCAGTAGTACAGTGCATTAGGCTCCCCTTAGATGGGAAAGCTGGTATTCAGTGTGTTCTGGTTTTAATGACTATTAAAGTGGGCCTTTCAGTAACTTTACAAGTCTGCATGTATACATTGACAAATCACAATATACATCAACAGTATACGTTTTCTTAAAAGCTGTACATATTATCATTAAAGAGAACCTGTCACATTGCACTGAATGGGTTGACAAGCTCTCTTTAAATCCCACCCCTGTCCCAGTTATATTTACCTTTTACAGCACGATCCTTCTTCAGTCACAGCTTCCATAAAATACCCAGTGCTTCCTGGTATGGGGGAGCATGTAACCTCCTTCCATGATGCAGTGCTAGGTCCTGATGGCCAATCACTAGACCCAAACACTTCAATACGCAGGGGTGACATCATTGCTGCCTAACAAAAGGTTGCCACAAAGTAAGTAGTGGTGGGGGAGTGATGCAAAGCTAAGTATAACTGGGTCAGGGTTGAGATTTAAATAGACCTCTTTTAAAAAGCAGTTGTTGAGTTCCAATCAAGTAACTGCAGATTGCTGCAGGCAGGAGGAAGCATTTCCCCAATCTCCTATGCCGCTGAGATTAGACTGCAACATTGTAAATTTGTAGAAAGGTGAGATTCTGCAGCAGGGGGCTAATCTTTGTCAGGCATTTTTGAACGCAGTCAAGAACAGCACAGACACTAGGATTTCAGAGATCTGTCATGTCTAAACCAGCATTATAGTTCAGAAATTAGATTCTTGCCCTAGATGATCCTTCAGCAAAGAAAAGCAGGTAAAGGCATTGTCAGGGGAAGTACTTTGATCTCTGTGAGAGGTAATAAGTACCTGTTTCTTTTACACATTAGCAACATAACATGATTAAACTTAGTGGGCGCAACATAAAACAAAATCCTCAAACTTATATAAGATAGACTTAGGACATTCAGGCTATCGTCTAGAAATCAAACCTTTTCCTAAACTGATGTAGATTAATATGCACAGGTAACAGAAGATGACGTTCTGGATGTTCTTGAAGGAGTATTACAGTCCCACATTTCCCTACCAAGTACACGAGCGTATACGCTGACTGCAATTATGAAGCTGAGCACACGTTTCCAAAACGGCGTGAAGTAGGTTATACTATTTTCTTAAAGGAAGAATGCATGTAAGTAGACATGTATATGTTTTTCAGTGAAATCTTTCACAAGATACTATACTAACTGCCTGGCTGTTATGCAGAACCTCTAGTCACCGACACAGAATAAGTAGGCAGACCAGTTCAGTCTGAGAAAAGGACCCAGAAGTCCTTATCTGCATACTTGTTCCAGGCATTTACTCAAAGTATGGAGGAAAGATGTTTAGCATGGCAAGCTAGGCAATCATCATTTTCAGGAGAGTTCAGTAATGCCATCTCTGTGTTTACCTATGATTTCTTATAATCCCTTTAAAGGAAAACTGCCCTTTTAGGGACCCACTTGTTATTTGCCCCAAATTAGTTTCACCTTTTAAGTTGCATTAGTGAAATAAATGAACTTTGCACAATATTCTAATTATTCGAGTTTCACCTGTATATACACAGTATACACTATAAAAATATTATTAAGACAAACATAGATAAAACTGAATTTTTTTATTATTTGTGATGGCGTGATATATAGTATAAGCCAGACCTCAGACCTGGCATCAGCCTGCACCTGGGAAGTCAGTTGCTGCAATTCTGTATATGTATCACTTCCATAACCACTTTCTGTCTGTCCCTGCATGGGACAGACAGATTGGCTGACTGTTCTTTATGGAAGGTACCATCTTCCAAGGCAGGAAGCAGTGGGAATGAAAGAGGTGATTTTTCATAAGTATAGATATCCTTAATGTTATATGTAGTATGAAGAAAGCATGACATCTAGAGATGCAACTTGAGTTCACACTTGTCTTCTCTCCTTCAGCCGCATACGTCGTGTGGTGTCAATATATGGTTGCTGCCATGATGTGGAATTACAGCAAAGAGCTGTAGAGTACAACGCACTCTTTAAGAAATATGATCACATGAGGTATTAGTAACAGAGCACTGGTTATTGGGGGACGCTGACTGGGACATAATTGACTAGTTCTCAACACACTTTCTGGAGATATAATTAAAATTGTGCTAGCCTCTGCTACTTTTATAAAAGTTTGTGTTTGAAGCAGAAACAAACAGGCAGACACTAGTAGATGTAGATGTATTAGTAGATGTATTTATAAAGCATTGCGGTAAGGCAGCCTATTCAGTTGAATAGGTTGGCAATGCACAGAAAAAGGAACCTGCAGCATTATTGGTACACAGGTGCTTTGGCAAGGTGCATCGGGGGTGCCATTAAAAATGAACTGCAGCACATCACATTGGCACACATTACTGTAACATGCACTGCACCTGTGTGAAAGACTTGCACACATAAGCTTTTGCCACACTAGTGAATGTTTATTTGTAATTTTCTCCAATGGGGCTTTAAGGTCTGTGACTACCCCATTACTGCGAAGACCTGTCTTTCCACCCTCCCCTAACACATTTAATTTCTTCCCATTAGCATAAACCTCTCATTAATCAATGGCCCCAGTTACAGGCATATATGATGGTTATAGCGCTAGTGTTACACCTGCCATCCAGAGTATAGCTTATTCCATCTTTTTTCCTGGTCAGGTGTGCTCTCTTGGAAAAGATGCCATTACCAGAAAAGACTAATACCGAGGATGTTGGAAGTATAATTGCTGAAACCAAAGACAAAGTTGAGAAATCTCCAGAAAATAACCCATCCTCCAACATGCCAGCAAGTCATGTGAGTAGACTTGTTGTGTATAGAACTAAAACAGTCTAGCTCCAAAACAGCTCAAAAGCATTACTTCTTCTGTATTAAAAATGACATCTTGTACATCCTTATATATATATAATCCACCACATATCTCTGCTTTAACAAAAACATTTGCAGAAAATTGCAGGCAATAAACTTAATTTACAAAGCAAAGTTCTTAATTTTAAAAAAGTGACAGTTATTTTTAATTCTTATTGGAAACAGCTAAAAATAGCAGTCACATGGATGAAAAAAAAAACCTTATCCCTGTGTTAAAGCTTTGTATATTGAGCCTCACGTGGGTCTATCCTATGCATCCAGTTGTTCTGATATGATTGAACCTGATCTAGCAGAAGGTAGACTTTGTTTAATCAGAAACTAAATTATGTCATGTCACGCACCACAAGCATTTAAGCAGTTGGCAACTAGAGATTAGCTCATGCAAGCGAGTTCATTGGTCCAAACCTCTACCACTGAGCAGGTGCCAGTGTCCTAATTTAATCAGAATAGCAGATTCACATTCATGCATATGTTTTTGTGTGTGTTTTCAAGTCTGGCATGTTAAACAACACATGCTGTCCATTACTTTACACAGTGGTCCATTACTATTTAATTTTCAATGCGCTGTCAACATCTGCCATGTTCCAAAAAAAGTACCTGTCTCATTTTATTCAGGGCACTTCAAGGAATCATATGTTATTTATTATTCTGTCATTAATAATGAATTACCCTGAAAGGTAGGTATGTTTTGTTTACTCCATATATGCATGTTGCCACTGAAATTGAATGGCATTACACTGCAATTTGCATACACAGACCATGTTTATACCATAGTTTCCTTAACACCAATTTTTAGGAGTTTCCATCCTTCTAAACAGTGAACAAAAAACGGTTGCCAAACCACAAACAGTTACATGTCCTTAAAAAAATTTGAAGACATGTTGAGACTTGCCTCCTTTTTAAAAGGCATATTTTATTGTGCTACATAAAGAAGAATAACATTTCAAAGGCCAAAATCCTGACCGAATAATACCATTAGAGTCGGGTGGGTGCCAAAGTGACTGCAGATGCCTCTGCAATCCAAGATAAGTGTATGTATAAAGTCCAATAGAATCCAATAGAACAGTTTATTGACTCGATTGCTATCACATCATACCACGCTATATGATATGATAGCAATCGAGTCAATAAACCGTTTTTGACTTGAAATTCTATTGGAGTGCGAGTGACTTTATACATACACTTAACATTTCAAAGGGGCAATTTGTTACATGGACACATAAGATGGAGAATTACCTCTTTTAAAATGTCATGCTTTTACCCTGTAAACTTTGTGTTCCACAATAAAATAGGGGACTCCTATGGTTCTTAAGAAGAGCTTAGGACCTGACAGATATAACCATGCACATCTATGTAACTGTTGAGTAGAAAAAAAACATCTATGGGCAATCGTATTGTTTTCTGATGTTTTTGTCCATGTTTGACAACAACAACAACAACAACAAAATCTTCCTAAGATGGGGAGTAAAAGGTAATAGGTACCTGTAATTCAGATGTGTGAAATGCTGATGTAATATTCTTATTTTATAGGTTACTGATCTCTTAGGATTATTGGACAACAGCACAGACAATCTGCTGACACCTGTAAATGTGGCGACATCAACTGTAAACCAAAATGACTCTAGTGGGGGCAGCTTGTTGGATCTTCTGGGTGAAACCCCAACCCCAGGTATATACAGAAAGCTTTTTGCTCACAAGACCAGCCTCTTGCAATTTTTACCCCAGAGGAACCCTTAAAATATTTTTTTGGTCTCAAGGAAACCTTGTTAAAAATAGTTCACTGGGGGTCAGTGGGTAGAAAGCCCCTTACATTAGTGGTCAGGGAAGAATTCCCCTCTTACAGTGGTGGTCAGAATCTTTCCCTTACAGACAGCTAAAACGTTAATTGGTGTCATGCTGCTGGCTCTGCCAAGTGGCATTGGATCGAGATTCATGCAGGCAACATCAGATTGGAGGACAGTCAGCCACAACTCAAGGGAACCACTGGAGGAACCCTGGTTGAAAATGACTGCACTTACTAGATCACAAATACTATAAAAAATGATCAATTACAAATAGTTTTCAAATGTAAAAGAGATATCTGCACATTCCAATACAATTTTTACCTAGTGTTTGTGTCTGCATCAACTGACTGAAATGTACGTGAAGTGCTTGCTTTTCAACTGTCAAATGCTAAAGCCTCTCCTGCCTACTTGAATTTGATAGCTGCAGGGGTGTAGGTGTAGGCGGAGGAGCTTAATCTTGGGAGGTTGTGCACACAGTTTTAGTCTGGTATCCAGGGTCCACCCCAGACACATAAGAACTAAAACTGAACACAAGCACAGATATCTGTAAGATTCCAAAGGTACTTTAATCACTTTGGTGGACATAAAAGGTTAACTTTAAAGCCCAGCTTAGGACAAACATTTTCCGGTCATTTTGCATGGATTGTGGAAGGATTAGAACTTGCTGTCTATATCCCTGTTTCTTTTATCACCCAGATAGGGAGTGACAAGAATTTTTTTTTTTTCATATAATAAAATCCTAACAAATGTTCCTTACTTTACTAGATTTCTTTTTATTGCTGGCCATGTCATCATCGGGAAGATTTAATCCAACTATCTTTTCTGGCATGGTCAGATAGACATGAAGTGGTTTTTCCTTGACTTCCTGTTGTGTCTGAAACTCATCACATAGACAGAAAGTAAGGACACAGGGACTCAGACAGCAGTAACATTTGACCCTAAATGTAAAAAAAAATGTAAATACATTACCAGGAAGTTCATTTGTGTACCTGGTTGAGCCTTCCAGATTCTGGGGTCAACTAACTGCTCAATGGACAAAGCTAGTGATGTAAATGCATTGTACAGTGAACTGACTGAAGAAGGAGGTAATAGAGGAAACTACATTGCTGAATTGGGATAGATAGGTCACCAGCCTGACTCTGCAATTTGACAGTGATGTGCGAATCACAGGACTGGTTAAACAAATTCCAAATGTTTTGATACATCAGACCATAATCACATATGCATGTCAAATGTGTGTTTCTTTTTTCCTGGCGTTACACTTTCACTCTACTTATATGTACTTTACAGCAGCTCTGCCTTCAATGGAGGTATATAATAATGGAAGCCTCCAAGTGGAATTTTCATTCCTGCTCCCACCATCCAGTCCTTCCCTGCTAGTCATCAACTCTCGTGCCACCAACAACTCTTCTACCAACATTACTGACTTCCTGTTACAGGCAGCAGTGCCCAAGGTATGCTCTGATCCATAGTGCTATGCCCCGATTTTCTGTAGACATATTTGAACAGCTCCAAATTTCAATGTGATCAACACAGTGGAGTTGATTTACTAAGGGAGTATATTTTTTTTGCGGAATAAGCTGAGTTAATATGTGTTCACTTTAATAAACCAATAAAAGGGAAAACATATATTTTTTAATCTTCTGTGCAGAATTTGATGTTTAAAGTGAACATGTTAACAAATGTGTCCTACTTCAGCAAATCACCCCCAATTTATCGCGCCAATCTGTTTTACTTAAGGCAGACCATGCACTTAAAATGCAAGGTCTGCTTATTTACCAAGGAACCCCTTTCCTATGCCAAAACACCGTACTAAAATTTTAAACAAGAATTGTAGGTACAAAAAAAAAATGTAATATTTGCATAACTCCTACCTTTCCTCTGCGGAACCTAGGCAAGGATGACATCACAATGCTAGATTGAGATTCTCTGGAATGCGGATTAGTACTGTGCTGGAGCATCATTTAGTGAGATTTGGGCTACTCACTTGGGCTAGACAGAACTATGCAGTGTGACAGACCTGTCTAGATTTCAGGAAAGGATAGACAGAAATAGAAATCTTTTGGCTGTTTGGCTGGGGGGGGGTCACTTTTAGAAGCCACTTTATAGTACTAACGGAATCCATATTATGAGGCCCAGATCCTGTGATTTTATATGAACATGGAACTACTGTGTGATACTTTTCTTTTTTTCTAAATGATTGTCAATAATTTATTCTTATTCTTTCTGTATGTGTTACAGAATGTTCAGCTACAGATTCAAGCTCCCAGTGGTAATTTACTTGCAGCTTCAGGTGAAGGATCAGTTACACAATCCATCCGTGTACTGAACCCCCAAAAGGTAAGTCATATCACATTCCTATGACTGGGAACGAATAACAATAAAATCACACATATACTGAGTGAATCTTTTTATGCTTAGAAATTCATTTTGAGAAAATGTTAAAATATACAGGTAGCCCTCAGTTTGCGCAGGTTCCGTTTGCGCCATTTCAAAACAGCGCTCTTTTTGACCGGCCACCATTGAAACAACAGCGCCACCTAGTTTATCTTTAAGGATACGCAGGAGTGCTATGTTGGTGCCCGAATGTTACTGTAATGTAATTGTTTACTATGCAAAATGAATAAAAAGATTTTTCAAAAAAAAAAAGGATACGCAGGAGAATGCTATACAACTGCAAGTGGTTAGAATACAACAGTATGTACAGTACTGTGCAGAGTTTCTGGCAGCTATCTCAGGGCACAGAAGGAGGATTGTGGCTCAATCAAAAAACTGTGGACACCTACAGAGGCACACAGAGGGACACTTGAAGGTATGGTGGTGCACAGGGGTACACTTGGAGATATGGAGGAGCACAGGGGTACACTTAGAGATGTAGAGGAGCACAGGGGTACACTTGGAGATATGGAAGAGCACAGGGGTACACTTAGAGATGTAGAGGAGCACAGGGGTACACTTGAAGATACAAAGGAGCACAGGGGTACACTTGGGGATATGGAGGAGCACAGAGGTACACTTGGGGATATGGGGGAGCACAGGGGTACACTTGGATATATGGAGGAGCACAGGGGTACACTTGGAGATATGGAGGAGCACAGCGGTACACTTGGAGATATGGAGGAGCACAGAGGTACACTTGGAGATATGGAGGAGCACAGAGGTACACTTGGAGATATGGAGGAGCACAGAGGTACACTTGGAGATATGGAGGAGCACAGAGGTACACTTGGAGATATGGAGGAGCACAAGGGTACACTTGGAGATATGGAGGAGCATAAGGGTACACTTGGAGATATGGCGGAGCACAGGGGTACACTTGGAGATATGGAGGAGCACAGTGGTACACTTGAAGATATCGAGGAGCACAGGGGTACACTTGGAGATATGGAGAAGCACAGGGGTACACTTGGAGATATGGATGAGCACAGAGGTACACTTGGAGACATGGAGGAGCACAGGGTTACACTTGGAGATATGGATGAGCACAGAGGTACACTTGGAGATATAGAGGAGCACAGGGGAACACTTGGAGATATGGAGGAGCACAGGGGAACACTTGGAGATATGGAGGAGCACAGAGATACACCTGGAGATATGGAGGAGCACAGGGGTACACTTGAAGATACAGAGGAGAACAGGGGTACCTTGGAGATATGGCGGAGCACAAGGGTACACTTGAAGATACAGAAGAGCACAGGGGTACACTTGAAGATACAGAAGAGCACAGGGGTACACTTGAAGATACAGAAGAGCACAGGGGTACACTTGGAGATATGCAGGAGCACAGGGGTACATTTGGAGATATGGAGACACACAGAAGTTAATTTGGGGATATGGAGGCACATAGAGCCATGCTAGGTGCACGCGGTACCCTTGGAGCATTCATAACATTTATTTCAAAGCTTTAAATATAGTGGGGGGAATTTATCAAAACTGGGGCAGACAAAATCTGGAGCAGATTTGCACTGCAACCAATCAGCTTCTCTTTCTCATTTTCAAATCTTACCTGAGCCAACTGAAGAGAGATGCTGATTGATTGCCATGGGCAACTGCTCCAGTTTTGATCAATTCCCCCCAGTATTATGTCACTTATGTCATTTTTGAGAGAGGGCTGGAACCTAACTCCCTCACTTCCCATTGACTTACATCATCAGTTTCTATTTGCAACCATTCCTTCAGGAACCTAACCCCGGCTTAAATCGAGGGCGACCTGTATATGTAATCAAATAAATTCATAGATTTAAACCAGATGAGTCCTAATTCATTCTTTCAATGAATTGGTATAATCCAGTTTCAGACCCCGATATACTGTATACGTATTAAAAAAAGAACTCGGGCAGCTAGTTTGAATAATGATTTGTGCCCTAAATGTATTATGCCTCACTGAGCTCTTTGTATCATGAAATTCTTTTTCTTTCAGGTTCCTCTCCGAATGCGTCTGCGTTTATCATTTACACAGAATGGAAATTCAGTGCTGGAAGTATGCGAAGTCAACAACTTTCCTGCAGGGATATGGCAGTAATTCAAAGCACAGTGGGATATTTGAGTTAAAAAGACACTTAGATGAAGGTGACGGCAATGTCAAAGATGTTTTGCTAAAGGAACAAATTAGTGTGCTGATGTTTTCAGATTTGCTATAACTGAATATATATTTATTTTTGATGTGACCCACAGCCAAAAGCACAATTCATATCTCACTCTGAGCAGAAATAATTTGGGAAAGTGTTCAGGCATGGGTTCTTGTAATAAAATGGCATTGTTTTCCTATATCCAGAATGTGGGATTTTTTTAACAGCCTCAAAAAAAAAAAAGAATGCTTGGATTAAATTCAAAGGTTGCAATCTTCAAATGTCCTGCAGGTGGCGATGTGTTACCTTGACTTTTTTTTTGTATCATCTCTGCCTTCCTCCAGTCCTGCTTCATTTCAAGCCCATCTTCATGTACTACAGTAAGGCACTCAAAATATGTATTATACCTGCAATATGCAGAACAGAAGAAATTCCAGTGATATGGCACACAGAAAACCATGCAGCCCTGGTTAACCCTTCCTTTGCCGTAATGCGTTTTCCTAATTCCCCTTAGGCTGTTTGTGTTAATTAGGATTTGCGAGTATAATGAATTCTCCAGCTAATTAATGCTGTGTGGTGATGATGAGGGGGTTGCTAGAAATTGTGTGCAAGGAGGGAGCAGAGAGCGGTGATGGGGGGTTCATGTGAGTGGCACCGAGCCAGCCTGTACCTGCCCCCTTCAAGATGACAGACTGCAAGAGACAACAGGGAAAGAGCGCGCGGTGACGAAGAAAGGAGAGTGCGCAGAGTAGCAGATGCATCCGCCATCGAAAAAACAGCATCTCCTCTACCCTCCCACCAATATCGAACCGTATATATCTCACCCCCACCAACTCACCCACTTCTGTTCCCTGAGGTGTGAGCTGGCAGCTGTGGGCAATGACCATCTGTGTGCATGTTCATGTATTTGCATCTGTTTGTCTGTGCCCTGTGTGCGCATATCTGGGCAGAGAGCCTGGCACACAGAAAGAGTGTGTGGGGCAGAGAGATACACAGACAAGGAGCAAGTCTGGGTGAGATATGCATTGACAGAATGAGATGGGCAGAAAGAGGCAGATAGCGGAGTTGGCAGAAATACAAACGCTGGCGGAGAAGCTGGCACAGACGCGACCCCCTCAGAGCTGGCACCTGGTACTTATTATTGTGCCGTACAGACTATGCATGAAATCGAGTGCCAAAAAGCGAGAAAGCCAGGATATGTAATGAGAAGTGGCACAGATAAGGGATAGAAGAGGATGGCACATGGGTACAGTCTATTGATTTTATCATTGTTAATTGCTTATGCTACACAAATGTCTATCGGTGTATGTGCGAGTCATTTGTCCATACGTACGTGCTGTTAAGTGAGCATGTGAAGTGTTGCCATATTGGCCTGCCTACGACAACGGCAATGCCAAGGGGAAACTTGCCCATGTTCAAGGAGACCTTCATGAGATATTCAAGAACGACCATCATTGAAACTCCAAGGCAAGCAGACCAGAGGCATCTGGAAGACGGTGAGATACAAATCATCATAAAACCAAAATTTGCCATTTTACCATCACGACCGCACTCATGGAGGACAAATCCTTGACATCCTTTGGATCTGTCCTCATGTGGCTTAAGTGACAGACGGCAAACCTCTTTCAGATTCATTACATGGGTAGATTTACCACAAAAAAAAAATGACAAACACGGCAGCAACATTTTAAATTTAGTTTTTATATTTTTTTAACCATTTATACATCACTCTGAAAAATTCCTCAAACTCTTTGCATGCGACAATCCAAGTTGGGTGAGCAGCTGGTCACCAGACAATCTGAAGATACAGGGAGATTGAAAGCTAACACTAGCTAGCAACATGCTCTGTGTTAGCAGAACTTTGAGCATTGGCACCAGTTACCGTAACAGTACAAGGTTCTGATTTTTTTTATTTATTTATATATATAAAAACTGAAATCATTGCAGTTTATGTGAAAATGTTAAGCATTTCCAAGGCCCGGTCTGTTCTTTTTACTCTTTCTAGCCATGTAATATTCTACCTGTGAACACAGCAAATATGTGACGTACATTAGAGGAACAAACAGGAGACAGAGAGCATGTGACATAGCTGAGAACAGGAAGACAAAGAGGACACAAGATGATGGTGGTATGTCAATGGGGGTGACAAAAGATCATATAGCGAGGATAAAATCAAGAGAAATCAGGCCTGGCAGGTGTCCGTTTTGCAGTTGCGAAACAAATTCTACTCACGTACTGTTTGCGTTATGCAGTATTACAGCGATTTATTAATGCACCAGCATATTCATTAGTTGTGTGTAATCAAACGTGTCAAGAGTGAAAACATATGGGTAAGACCATCTGTACTTGACTACACGTTCTAATTCATGCACATAACGAACAAAATAGAAAGAAATATGCGTTGTCTTTCGTGTGAATCTGGCAGCAAACAAAAGGCCCTCCAAGCGTCTCCTTTTGGTGGAATCCTTGTATCACTCAACCCTCTCACATGACTCCATTTTATTATTATACAGTTATTCCACTGTACAGAACAGTGATGTCATGAGAGTCAATAGTTCTTGAGCATGGAGTTGGATACATCTGTTTTTAACCTCTGTATTGCCATGTTAGGCCGTAGATTATGGTATACTAAGTACATGATAGCATAGCATCGATGGCTGAAACGGCTTTGGTAGGTTGATTTATGATTTTTGGGTTTACAAATATGATCGCTGTAGTTACGTGTGCGCATTTGTATGCATAAAACAATTGGGTGTAGAATTGCTCTGGAAACCTACATGCAGTGTGTTGATAAAACTGTCCATGATTTTTGTAATCAGGCTGCATGCACTGTGCATTGTCCGAGCTCCTCTATGTACCTGTGCTTTATATAGGGTAGCAGTTTGTTTACTACGTGAGCTAAGGTGGGGGTTTTTCTGATACTTTTTCACTGTCTAAGTTCAACACTATCATGCAGATAATCTATTGTAATGCTCTGTTTCAAGGTGAACAACTCTATATGAAATACTTAGCCTTGGTAATGCAGACGTGATATCCAATCTCTGCCTGCATGTCAAACATGATAGGAGAACCTTCATTGGTTTTGTATTAACATGATACATAGTAAAGCTTTTAGTCCAGGCCACTATACATGTTTATAACAGCTAGTGGCGAACGAGTGAATTCCGGAAATGAATCAATAAGGCTTCTAAAGTTTACAAAGAACAGAGGGCAGTCACATTTATCTGACATCTTTGGAGAATACAGTGATATATTTGTAGAGGAGAATGAAAAAGAATAAAGCTTGGTCTACAAATAATCAATGAATGAAATGATATGCATGTCAAAACAAAATTACAAAGGTAGAAGTACATTCTATAAATTGTCATACATTTGAAACAAAAATATCTAGATGCACATTAGAGGAAAGATAGCCAGTTATTTGCTGACTGCTAGAACAGCCAAAGACAACCTATGGTTTCACATTTGGTATATAACTACAAGAACCAGGTTTGTGAAGGACTCCTGTGCCTAGACTACATCAAGATGTCCCTGTAACATGTGAGAGCACTTAAAGTCAAAATTTGTGTATTTACATTTTTATCTTCTATGGACCTGTAGCTCTTTCTGGGGAATTGCATGCCCCTAATACTTGTGGCCACCATAAAAATACATCTTAATGTTACTACTGGTCTGACAAAAATGTGACTACGGAGTCCTAGTTAGTCCACAAAACTGGAGTACCATAGGTTGTCTAAGGGCTTCTGTACACAGGCGTTTGGTTCTGCTGCTGATGTGAAGCATTTTTGAGCATCTGGAATGCATTGTGTGAGTTTTGGATTAGCTGGCTCAAGGTTAACTAGCATTTATGTTTCCATTTGCCATATATCATGTCTTGCTTTTGTACTTTTTTTTTTTTTTTTGCTGCACTTGAACTGCTTTTACTCCTCTACACAAGTCAAAGGGAATGCAATGTAAAGGTAAACTAAATGCATGGCAAACAAATGATTAAAAACATCTAAAAAAACAACCCAGTTTTCCCTGAAAGCTAGTTTCTTTTGTCTGCATTTGACCTGTTTCTTAGAAATAACTGCAAACCATTTCTGAAAGATTGCAATGGATCATTTAATTCCATGTTATCCTTTTCTTGAGTGAAAGCAGATGAGAAGCTCCTTAAATTGCCACGTGTATGGCAGAATACGAGTCTGCTCACACCACTGTGTTGCAACTCGGTTTCAAGTGCAGCTTAAGGAATTCTTCCAAGGAAACCATGGTAGAAAAGGGACCTGTTTTTCTTTTAACAAAATTTACATTCAACACTACTGCATAAATAAAAAGTTCATCTTTAGTTGTAACTGTTTCCATATTTCATAAAGTATGGAAGCTGCACTACTTGCTCATTAATGTAATCAAGGCCAAACTTGTAGAGCAATACAAATATCACAATACACGTTGCCATACACGGTACAATTGTAAGCATACAGATTTAAAGGGCGTTCATTGTTAGTTCAGAAACAAAGGATAGCAAAAAAAAAATTCTACCTCTTGTAAGCATTGTTATAGGCAACTGGTTTGGCTAAAATGAGCCATTCCCTAGTTTCACATTTATAGTCTATTAGCTTCAGAGAATACATTATTAAACATTTCTAAAAAGAAAAAAATTAGACCTCAAATTAAATCTTTTCTTATCCTTACAAAAACATATCTAGTTGAATTACTGGCATTGATTTAAAAAAAAATGGGCATATGATAAAGGACAATTGTACCGTGTATTAAGGAAGACATAAGCAAAACAAAGAAATATGAGCAGTATGAAATGACAAAAATGAAGAAAGCAAATGACTGACGGTCTTATACATTAGTGTTAATAATCCTACATGGTGGTCGTGAGGATAGAAAAGTCCATATCAGACACACGTCTGTTATTTATATACAGATCCCACGCTGCTCTGACTGATGAACTATATGCAGTGACCCAGCATTTTCCTCATACCCATAATACAAATAATTGTCCATTTTCAGGTTTCCATCTTCCTGTCCATTTTTTTCCTTTTTTTTTTTTTTGGTGTGAATTTTTTTTTTGTTTTTATGCAACTTTGGATTCAAACATTTTCATTACTTTTTTGTTATGTGTCCTTGTTTGGTGGTTGATCATCCTGACCCCCTCCCCCCAAATACCCCAAGCTTAAAACATTGAAAGTGAGGTATGGGGAGAGCGATACAGGGGAGCTAGGGAGTGAAAAATGTCCCTCCCCCCCATAACCCTCCCCAAAAAAGTTAAAGCCCTTCCCTTGTCCCCTCCACAAATGGTTAAAGCATCACAGCAAGAGTTCTTGGAGCGCTGTAGTCAGTCCCCAAGTATAACAAAGTTCAAGTCATTGGTGGAGAGTTGCTATATCCCCCATTTGAAATAAAATCCCCCAATTCTCTATGTACACACATGTGTACATGCATGTGTAACAGAAGAGTGGGCATTGCCTTTGTGTTTGGTTCCTTATGTCACGGAACTTTTGGTTATACATATATATTCAGTTTTTTTTTTGTCTTTTTTTACCTCTCCCTGTTCATTGGTTTATGGTCCAGTCATTCCATCTCCCACCATTAGGAATTTGGGGTACAATGTCCACAGACAGGGAGAGGTCACTCTTGTTTTGGCACCAGGATCAGAAAATGCAGAAAAGCTTTGGGTTCTCATTATTCTATGCAGAGGTTAAAGGGTTTTTTTTGTTTTCTTTTTGGCCTGTGTTGTGATGTATTTCTTTGAGTATACTTCCCTGCTGAAGAGACACAGATTCAAAACAGTTAGACAGTCAAGTGAGCAGAGATAGTGTCACTCCAGCAGATGAAGGTTTAAGGAAGCATTCTTGAGTGAGGGAATGCTTTTTCTGTAACAGACACACACAAGTAGAATGAGACACATACACAGAAATACAAACACTCTAAGAGGCAAATTAAACAAACACACTAAGTGAAATAAGATAGAAAGACAGCTCGAAAGCTTGTCTGTAGTGTGAGACAGACATAGAGTGTCTCTATAAAGCCATGAGCACAGAGGTAGCAGCACTCTTTGGCCTGAGTTGAGGTATTGCAGAGGATGCTCCATCACTGCATGCACTTTGTGCACGGTGCTGCTGTGACCTCAGGTGTTGGCTTCGAGCTTCAGGACCCTGCAGTAGCACTTGGCAGGGCAGGCAGTGATAGGTGCAGACCCTCACTCTGATTGGAGGTGGGTGTGGAGGAGGGCCAGTGTAACAGCCTGAACGCTGATGAGCTTCTGCTTCCCCCTCTTCGTCATAAGAAGTCTTGCACTGTTGGCATTGGTATCTAATTGCCACATCCACCATTGGTATATCTTCATCATCTAAGTCGTCATCTCGATCCACACTTTCCTCCTCTCTCTCTTTAGATTCTGCACTGCATTCATGCATTACTTTTGTCTGTGATGGTTCAGGTTTACGGGGCGATGATGTCTCAGGGGCCAGTTTGAGGGGAGCTGGAAGCAACCCCAGAAGTGTATGGGGAATGACCGGATTAATTGGAAATAGACGCTTCTTTAAACCATACAACTGCTGAAAGTAGGGACCCTGTATCTGAGGGCTGAACAGAGGAGTGGCAGCTGGAGCAAGTGAAAAAGGCATAAAAGGAGCCCCCATGAGGGGAGCGGCTTTCAAAGCTGAAGGAACAGTGGTTTCAGGGGTGAATGTAGGTTGTGAGGACTCCATAGTGGTATCATTGGTTGAGTGCGTTGAAGAGGGAGCAGTTGGAGTAGCACGGGGAAGGAGAGCTGGAGGTACAGAAGAAGTCATCCCGATGAGGCTTGGAGGAGGGCCTAAGATAAGACAGAAATACAGAGATGGGAAAGAACAATGGTATAAAAGAAATGTCAACACATGCTAGGTATAAAAGGAAAAGCTATGCATATAAAAACATTTCAAAAGTATTCAGACCCCCTTCATTGTTTTCAATTGTGTTATGTTGCAGCCGGATATTACAGTTGTTTCAATTCTTTTTTCCTCATTAATCTACACTCAGTACTTCATAATGACAAAGTGAAAGTTAGAAATGTTTGCAAAAGGAAAAACCTGAAATATCACATTGACATAAGTATTCAGACCCTTTGCAACACCACTTGAAATTTAGCTTAGGTGCCTCCCATTTCTCTCGATGGTTGCTAAGATGTTTCTACACCTTGATTGGAGTTCACCTGAGGTAAATTACATTGATTGGACATGATTTGGAAAGGCACACACCTCTCTATAGGTGGCCCCACAGCTGACAATGCATACTGTATCAGAGCAAAAGCCATGAGGTCAAAGGAACTGCCTTCAGAGCTCAGAGACAGGATTATTGCAAGGCACAGATCTGGGGAAAGCTACAAAAATGTCTCTTGCACTGAAGGCTCCCAAGAGCACAGTGGCCTCCATAATTCATGGAAGAAGTTTGGCACAACCAGGACTCTTCCAAGTGCTGGTCGCCTGGCCAAACTGAGCAATCGGGGGAGAAGGGCCTTAGTAAAAGAGGTGACCAAGAACCTGATGGTCACCGACTGAGCTCCAGAGATCCTGTGTGGAGATGGGACAAAGTCCCAGAAGGACAGCCATCATGCACCGATCTGGCCTTTATGGCGAAGTGGCTAGACGCGAAGCCGATCCTCATTGCAATACACATGAAGGCCTGCTTGGAGTTTGCAAAAAAGCACCTGAAGGACTCTGACGGTGAGGTACAAGATTTTCTGGTCTGATTAAACCATGATTGAACTGTTTGGCCTCAATTCTAAACATTATGTCTGGAGGAAACCAAGCTCCGCTCATCACCTGCCCAATACCATCCCAACAGTGAAGCATGGTGGTGGCCGCAGCATCAGCATGCTGTGGGGGTGTTTTTCAGCAGCAGGGATTAGGGAGACTGGTCATGGTTCAGGGAAAGCTGAATGGAGCAATGTACGCAGAAATCCTCAATGAAAACCTGTTCCACAGCGCTCAGGTCCTCAGACTGGGCTGAAGGTTCACCTTCCAACATAACAACGATCCTAAGCACACAGCCAAGACAACACAGGGGTGGTTTCCGGACAACTCTGAATGTCCTAGAGTGGCCCAGCCAGAGCTTGAACCCTACTGCCCTATTGAACATCTCTGGAGGGACCTGAAAATGGCTGTCCACTGATGGTCCCCATCCAACCTGACTGGGCTTGAGAGGATTTTCAAAGAAGAACAAAGTGCTGAGTAAAGGGTCTGAATACTTAAGTACATGTCATATTTCAGTTTTTTCTTTTTAATAAATTCACAGACATTTCTAAAATTCTGTTTTTACTTTGTTATTATGGGGCACTGAGTGTAGATTAATGAGGGAAAAAATAATTCAAACAACTGTAATATCAGGCTGCAACATAACATTAGGTTGAACTCGATGGACTTGTGTCTTTTTTCAACCTGACTATGTAACTATGTAACATAATTGAAAAAAGTGAAAGGGGTCTAAATACTTTCTGAAGGACATATTTCTGTGTTGTTATACCATCATCATATTGTATCAATATTATTTCTTAATGGGTTGGTTTCAGTATTAGGCAGGAAAGACCCCATCATGCTTTTATTGTTATGGTTTTTGTAATGCACAGGAATTAATTTTGTCAAGTATGTGTGGCACTATGGTTTTTCTGAACAAGAGACTGCAGTTTTAACATTATACATAATCTTTTTAATTTCCATCTGAATTTAAAAGTTCCTGTTTGTTTGGGATCACTCCGTGTTGTTATTTTATACCATGGGTGGGCAAACTTCAGCCCTCTAGCTGTGGTGAAGCTACAAAACCCAATCATGCACCTGCCTCTGGGAGTCATACCTATGGCAATCAGAGTCTTGCAATGCCTCATGGAACTTGTAGTCCCACAACAAATAGAGGGACACAGTTTGGTTACCCATGACTTATACCATCATTCAGTCATCCTTCCACTTTATCAAGATGTACAGTGCACTAATGAAAAGCAGTCACTCAGCATGATATTACCAGCAGCATCATGCCTCACTATAGGTATCGTCATTTTAGATGTTGGCAGGTTTAGACTTTTACCACATATGTTGGCCTGAATCCTGGCCAGAAAGCTTTTAAAAATGTTCTTTACATAATAATTATTTTGTTAGCTAAATATAAAATATTGAACATTAATGTTTTACATTATCCTTTTATGCCAGTAGATGGAGTTTTAGGCACCATTCCTCATGTTTTCCAGTTTATACTTTCCTCCTGCTGAAAAGGGCTGTTTATAAGCTCAGTAGCTCAAGCTGAAATTTACACACTCAAGTGAATGAGTCAGAGCAGTTCATTTTCCCCCTCACTCTCCCTCCCACTAAATGGCTGCGTCTTAAGCCTCACAAAGTGGCATAATGTAAGGAAGAAGCTTACAACTCCTGTAACATCTCTTTTGGGAATCCTTTTTCATGTATTATTTTCTCTGTCTCTCTCACAGGAGAGAGACTCAGGGGGGAATTTATCATAGCAATTGCGTGTGTTTGAACTTGCATATAGTCGCATGGGAAATATTTGCGCCAGATTTATGATGCTAATGTAATGTCTGTTCATAAATGAGATTAAATAGACTCCAGGAAATAAGACTCGTAACTCCAAGCAAAAAGCTTAACTATCGCTTCTTAAAGAAGTGGTCATGGGGACTTCTTAAGTTGTGATTGTTTTGTTAGGTGATGCTCCAGTTTCAGATAGCCGCAGGACAAGCGCAGATGTAAACATTTGCGAACTTTCGCAAAACGCGCGTAAAAGATGCGCAAATACAGATAAAGATGTCACCAGCACTCCAATCCAGAGATTCACGTTAATGTAAATCCATTATATTGACAAAAGTCATACATTTTATGACTTTTGTCAATAAAATGGATTTACACTAACGTGAATCTCTGGATTGGAGTGCTGGTGACATCTTTATCTGTTGTTATATCTGGAGCAGCGCCATTCGCAGTCATTGCAAGCACCCATTATTGGGACAGACCGGTAAGGAGTGCAGCAAGGTATATGGACTTTATAAACATGCACAAAACACGCGCAATTGGAAAAATAGTGCAAGCTCTGGTCTAAACAGGTGCACATGTTAAAAGGAGCGGCTAAACAGATTTGCACATAAAAAATAAAAATGATCTAAGAGGCTAAAACTGTCGCAATTGCTTTGATAAATTCCCTCCAGAGGAAATAAATAAAACTAATTTGGCACCAAAACCATTTTACTTTTCCTATTTATAGTTGACTGGTACACCTATACTCCAGTCTTGGCTACAGAACTCTGTGGATCCCTCAGTTTGTGTTGGCAAGGATAGCCTTTCCTAGGTAGTATCTAGATGATTTGATATAGCTTTTTTTCCACCTCAGCACTAGTTGATATCAGTACTCACTAGGACATCCAAATACATGCACAACTTATCTGAAAGGCTGCCAAGTGCTTATTTTCACACCTATGCTTCATATTTACAACCTAAACAATAGCCCATTACCAGTGCCATTTTTATTTAGGAAGTATGGAAGTTATTTAATGGTTCACTGGGGAAGGGTAAATGTAAGGCAACTATGCTGAATTTAGACACATGTTCTTTCACAATGTATGGAATAAATGCAGTAGTTTAATGCACACAGCGTATCTCACTTCTGATGTTTTTAGCTATTACTTTCTAACATAAAACAATGTCCCATTAAGAAAAAATTGAGTTTTATTGCTTTGAAATAAAAGTAGCACAGAAAACAAAATGCCAGTGTAGGAAATATTCATTGCAATGGGAGAGTAGGTCAAGGGTCTGAATCATTACCAAGGCACTGTGAATGTGTAAACTAAACAATTCTTATCTCTAACATTAATACAACTTCCAGCCTTTGCAGACATTGGTCTATGTGGGGGTATGACCCTAAACTAGACAGAGGAAAGTTCAAGAGTAATGTAAGAAAGTATTATTTTACCAAATAGTACATGCTTAGAACAGACTTCCAGCAGAGTGAGTGGGTTGATAAACATTTATGAATAAACATTGATTTATTCTCAGTCTTCTATGCCAGCCTTTCTCAACCAGGGTGCCGTTGGCTTCTTCGAGGATGCCTCAAAATATTGTGGTAGTGGGACTGTGATGTGAAGGGGGGAATGAAGATTGAGGTGAAGGGGGCTCCTAAAATAAAGGGGGAACTCTGTTAAGAAAGGGGAGGACTCTGGGAGCACTTTGTTGTGAAGAGGGAAACCCACTTTTTGGTGTTTTTGCATGGGGTTCCCATTAAAACCTGACATCTTTGAGCTGGGGTGCCTCGAGTATTGCATACTTTTAAAGTTGCCGTGACTGAAAAAAGGTTGAGATTTTCTATGCTTTTACATGTACCACCTCCCTGTGCTAGTTCCAATTCCAGAAACAATACTATACATTTATCAGAGTGCTAGCTGACATCTCCATCCAAATATTTGATGCTTTGTACTATGAAATGTCCCACTGGGAGTTTCTGTTTTAGTACAATATTATACTAAAGTACTATTTTGTGTTAACGTACTGAAAAGTATAGGTCCATAGATTATTATATAGAGGTAGAGGACATGTAAAAAAATAGAGGTATTTTCTGACAAAGGAATATTGGTCTACATTAAAAAACATAGAGCAATCTTCAGTGTTAAATGAAAATTCTAAACCACGCACAGTTTGGTAATAAGCTAGAGATAACGTTTTTAGCTAATGTTGAAACTGTACATGAATAATGGGACAGTAAGAGTGCAGGTTTGGCATCCGTTAAATGTAGAACTCCGAGTAAAATATTTTTCTAGCTTTGGGTAGACGAAGACAAGCTCAGAAATCCTGC